TTCTGTGTGGGTTTTTAGGACCGGATGGATTGAGGTAAAAAGCGTTCAGATTTCAGAAGGATCGTGAAGGAATGTGGGAGTGGAATTTACAGCAGGTGCCTTTCTAACTGTAGGTCATTGTGCATGATCGGATTCACAGTACATCCAACTGATAACAACATTTTGCAGAGAACTCTCCCAAACAAACCACCAGACCATTGCCATCCAGAGAATGATGTTTTTTTTACGTATACATTACTTGTGTGATGTGCACCATGATAAGGTATCTTATACCCAATTGTGTGTAGATCCATCCTAGGAGTAATAAAATTGATCAGGATACTCAGCTCCACAATTCTCTTTTGGGGTTGCTTTTACTTCTTACACCAAAATGTGTCTGTGATTATGCCGTATTCCTGCATACATTGTAACGTTTACATACATGACCCATAACATCCCAACAGCCTCAGGCATCATGGCATCATGTCGTACTTAGTAATGAACATACTGTATTTGCTTTCACACTGGCCTCCTGCAGCAGTTTGTCTGTACATATACAAATTTAGTATTGTGTCTTGTATGTCTTAGTCAAAGACAATTGAATAACTATGCAATTAAAAAGGCACTCATATCCACATCTATACAAACAGCTTGGCACATACAAAAAAGGTCTATGAGATCTGGCTTTTGAAACTAGGATAAGTTAAGATAATCTATAGTGAAACAAATTTTTATATTTGCTGTGTGGAGATGATAATTCAAGGCAAGTCAAAACAGGCATTTACTCCCATTAGTGCATCTATTATTTTGTATTTTGGTAAAACAACTTTTGAAATAGATAGATAAATGGGCGAAATATTTAAGAGACACACATAACATGAATAAATTACAGGTAATTTAAAATACCTTTATATTATTCACCCAGGGGAACCGTGTTATTGGTGCCCTGTTCTTTTCTGGTTAAATTCATCTTGACGCGCCTGCAATGGGTTAATCTGATGTAAAGGTATAATGTGGAGTATATACATTTTCACGTGCTATGTGGAAACCTGTATTTCCTCACCCTGTCTTGACATTTTCATGCATGATCCACAACCACAAGAGGGCGACACAAGTCAAGATATTATTGATTCTCATTCAAGTGTCCAGGCTGTCCGTCGGTTTAGAAAAAAAAAAGATGAGGATAACGTCGGAAACTAATAGTTTGACAAGTTTGTCAATTAACGAGTTGGTGACCTTTGAGTTCGTCCTTTCCTTTCACAAAAGTCCTTTGATTGAGTTATATGTTGGTGTTTTACTGTGCATTTTACAATAGATATTATTTTATGGCCACTGACTTTTCCTTCTGGCTACACATTACATATTAAAAGTTGGGGTCTGAAATTTCAGGACATTCTGTGTCATGATCAAGGTGGTCCTCGGTCTTTCGTTGATGAGGACATGTCTGGGTTTGCCCGCACACCATCAAACTCGATCTCTGGTAACTTCGTCAGTTGGCCCAAAAATACTACTTGCTTGAGCTGTACTGATAAAACCCTTTTTTTTTATTGCTGCAATACATTTTTCTACCCTATTTTCCCACAACACCACCAACACGCAAATGGTACACTTTGTTTTAATTCGGACTTCTCTTATCGACCTCAACCTGTCCTTTCGGCGGTCTGGTGGGAGGTAAAGTGGGAGGGTTTAGTCGAGTCAAGCGGAAGAATATAACGCGTCAGACCCGCCCCAGCGTTGTAAACTGCGCAGTCCCCGACAGTCCCGACGCGGAGCCGCCACAGTGGATTTGGAAGCGCGCCGGACAACAGGAGACCTTTTACGCACGAGTCCCGCTCGCGATTTGCAAGCCATTTGCAAACTCGTCATAGAGAAGGGATCCTATTCACATGGTGGGTGCTTTATCCCCCCCATCGAGGAGAGCCCGGTGAATTGCGAGCTGTTTGAATGGTACCCTCAGTCACCATGGATTACGGACGGACCATGGCCCCTCCGGTACCCCCGCACAGTTCCGCACAAACCCTGCCTGGGCAGGCGCAGGAGCGGCTGCTGAAGTGCGTCCTGCTCGGCGACGGAGCAGTGGGCAAAACTAGTCTGGTGGTCAGCTACACAACGAATGGCTACCCAACCAAATATGTCCCTACTGCATTTGATGACTTCTCAGGTAACCGACACATGTTGCTCTTTCTGTTTTCTCATGATCTGCTAACTGCATTAAACGTTCGTACGAGGCACACATTTCCTGGATCAACGATCAGTGCAGACCCTGCTAGATTTGATAAAATTATATATGACTGGATAACTGAAGTGTGGTAAAATATAATGCATTGACATTGAAGGCATCCTCTTTTTTTTAAAATTCCACTGCTAATTTTTTTTCCACTTAGGAAGTTAGACATTTGTTTCCACCAGCTTTTTAAATTAAGTCATCTTCAACTGTTGATGCTTTGAAAGCACCCCTCCATTCTATTATTTCCCCTATTATTCCATTGTTAAGATAGTTCTGTTTCCTATTATCTGCCTT